CATGGTGGACCTCAGTTTGAGCTCTGGACCCAGTGGCTTGAAACTCATGCTGGGCACACATGCGTGCATGCCCAAGATCCCAGGGAGAGAATGGAGGAGAAGGAACTGCGGCATGGCCATCCTGTCTGGGGGGTGGGGGGGTGATTTCTCACTTTCTCTCTCACTATATCTCTCTCTGTCTCTTTTGGGGAGTGCATGTGCCCTAATGCAAAAACCTCTTAGAAAAACAAAACCAACCAAACAAAAGGAACACAAAGAAAACCAACTAGCTTTTCTTCCCTGAGTGGCTGAGCATCTTGAGTAGGTCCACGTAAAGGCTATGTGTTTCCGTATTTTAACAGCTTCAGGGGTTTAGATTAGAATATCCAAGCCTCTTGCAATAGTAACCCAAATAAAAGGGTTGTGAGGTGAAGTTGATCACAGGAAGGTGTGGAGCACAGCTAAAGATTTTTGACTGGGGTTAGTACTAATATGCACCTGCAGGCATATTTTCAGTCAATTCAATTAACTCAAGTTTCCTTTCCGTGTGTAATCCCCATGTTCCCTGATGTGGATAGATAGTCGTCTCCATCCTCTCAAGATTCTAATGTGTTATTTTCCTAAATAAATGTTATACTTTGTTTGTCTGATTATTGAACTGAAAGGGACTGATTTGTTCCAGAAAGTATTTAAAACAACTATCTTTTGAGAAAATAATGGGGAGTTAACTTTTAGAGATGAAGCAATATAGCTCTTTGGTGAAAGCCTAAAATTTCCTAGTTGAGTAAAAATAGGCCCAGCATTTTTCCTAGAGACTTCAGTATTGCTAGGAGCAAATGGAAGGGTTCTTCTCACTGAATCCATTTAGAGTTAATTGTGGTCACTTAAAAAGAAATGTTTATTTTTAAATTTCTTAACTTTTAGTTTACATTTAATCACTGAACATTTTTACAGTGCGCAGCTTGGCTTTATCCCAGCATGAATGCAGTGCATATTAATTAAGTCAAAGACATTACCATGAACGTGATCATTAGCAGATAACTTTTCACTTTTGCGTCTATTAAACATGTTTAATTTTTCCCTGATCGTCTTCCTCCGACCATTACCCACCACCTCCTATACTGCATTGTCGTCCTTTTTATATTTCTTATGAACTTCAGAGTTGACAGTGAACTGAGAATTATTTCAGGGTGTATGGAGCTACTTGTGAACTGAATGGATTCTTTACGGTGTTGCCTGTGGTGTGCTATACTGACGGCACATCAGAACCGCTGGTGTACATGCCTAGAGATTCTGGTTTTGTAGGTCATGTTCCACCCTGGTGTTTAATGGATGTCTGGGATTGAGAAACTGCATTATTCTTAATTCCTGTCACTTATGGCCCTGGGAAGCAGTCAGAGAAAAAAAACTAGGTCACTGCTCTTTGACCTGCGTGTCATGTAAATCACCTGAGCATAGCGTCCCAACAGGGAGGGTCCTGGGGCTCTGGATTTCTGAGATAGTCCAGGTGATGCCCAGCTGCAGATCTCAGACCGCACTGAGTAGTTAAGGACAAGATCACGACTTGCACTTTGGAGAACACCGCAATACCACCACCAGAATTATGAAAATCCGGATGCCTACTGATGGACCTCTTTCTTCCACATTTTTCCCTCTCCTCTTTGCTTACAGAGATTATTACAACATGCTAAATAACTTGCCCTTCTTTCTTTGTATGATTAAATATGTATTACTGAGGCTGGAAACTCTGTAGTAGAGAAAGGATTTTGTGACCACGGTTCACCTCCTTAGTAGAGTTGTAGAAGTTAATGTTTTGACTGATTAAAAAAAAAAAAATCAGTCTTGTGAGGCAATATATACAGGAGCAGTGAGCAGTTGAAGGGGATGTGAAAGAGCACGTGTGTGAAGTGCCGGAGACAGTCTCAGCTCCACAGTCATGACCACCATTGCCTACTGGAAGACCCATCTGCCATACTCACCTGTTAGGAGAATAAATGCACACGAGGTGTGAGAAGCTGTTTACACAGTCGGTCATTGATCAGTAGTCCTCGTTATCACCACCAGTGTTGCTTCTGAGCTCATAAATGACATTGATGCTCATGTTTTTCTAGGATTCTGGTGAGGAAGCGTTCTCTTGGTTATGATACAGGCAAAAAAAATATTCTAGAGAGAAATCCCAAGAAAAGGCAAAATATTAAAGAGAGCAAATAGAAGAAAAATCCACAAAAGTTCTTTTTTTAAGAAAAAAATGCTCTTTTTGTTTAGTAAACACACATCCAAAACTATTTTTCTTGTTTAATGATAATACTCTGGTGTTTCATTAATCCTCCAAAGTCTAAGTGTACTGATGCCTATATTCCATTTTCAAATATAGCTTTATTCCCTTGTGGATTAAATGCTCTTGTTCACCAGTGAAAACCAACTGACAGATGGAACTTGGATGTGGTGGATTATAACTCTTCTTCATTGTCATCTGAACTGATTAAACTAATGCACCAGTGTACACTCTGTGATTCTGAGAGGAGAAAAAGACAATAAAAACAAAAACAAGAACAACTAAAAAGAAAAAAAAAACAAAAAACAAAAAAACCAAGAGCTTGTGTAAGGTTGAGTCTGTTTTTTAGTTTGTTTTCCTGAGTGATAACGAGGAGGGGATGCATTCTAGGAGGGCATCAAAAATGCCGGGTGCCTTAGGCACAGCCGGGATGTCTTGATGAAGACATTTGTGAAAGAACTGGGCTTGATTCTGAAGAGGGAAGGGGTCTGGGCAGCCCTAGTGTTGTGACTCACAAGGACACAGAGCAGGGAAGCGCTATCCTGTCGACTTTGCCCAGGGACACCCAGGGGGTTCTTCTTTCCCACCATCTTTTCTCTGCCCCACTGAAAAACTGAATTCTTCAGTTCTTTGTAGTATAATGTGGTATTTAGTCAATGTATACTTTTGTTTATAATTTCTACCTTTTACTTTGTTTATAATTGTGACTTTCCTTCCTCAGCTTGGTAGGAGGCTACGGCACAGTGGTCTGTGTGCTTCGGCCTTCACAGCTCAGTGGAGGCGTGTTCAGTTATATAAAGGAAGAAATGCCCATTTGTGTGTGACCCTCCCCCAAGATAAAAAACACCACCGGTCAAGATCAAGCAGAGTTGGGTTTATTAGACTTGCTGTCGTAGGGAAAACTCAGTCTGAGGGGCTGTACTAGCTGCTCAAATGGAGGAACATGAGGGGGGATGTTTAGGATGCAGAAAGATGGGGGGAGTGATTTGGGAACAAGTCTGCCAAGTGAGGATCTGGTTAGAGTTAGGCAGTTCTTGGCATAAAACTTTGAAGTAACTTTATATTTTTAAAGTTCACTTAATTCATTTCTCCCATGAGAGGGGGCAGGAGGGAGGGCGATGTACTCACTTGGGGTTCTCCTGCTGTGGTCTGTCCTTCGACTCAACCAGCCAGTCCACAGGCGCACACACCCGCTGTGCTCGGTGTGAACCCAGGATTTGCCTCTGTGCGTCCAGTTGTGTCCAGCTGTGTTGCCGCTGTGCCACCTCCTGGCCTTGGATACCTACTTTGATTAGGACGGCACAGGGCCATGAGGGTCTGGTGTGAGCAGTCTTGCTGATCCATAACCTATTGTACTTAGTTTTTGCCATAGGGCGGGCACCACCACACCCCAACCTATTGTACTTGGTTACAGTCTTATCTCTTAGAGATAAAAAGCAAATATTTCTGTTTGACCTGGGCCCAGTATTCATTAGCACTGAGACTAAAGAGTAGGATGGATCTAATCTCAAACTTTTTTTTTTTTTTGGAGAGGTTTTCGCTATACGGCACGTGCACTTGCCAGACAGACAGAGACAGAGAGGTAGAAAGCAAGAAATCACCCCCCCCAGGGGGGATGGCCACGCCGCAATCCCTTCTCTTCCATTCTCCTCTCAGGGTCTTGGGCACGCACGCACACGCGCCCAGTGTGTTTAAGCCACCGGGTCTGGGACTCGAACTGCGGTCAACTACGTGGGAATCCAGCGGCATAGCCATTACGCTAACTGCTGGTCCCATCTACTCTCAGACTTAATGATGGAAAAGTGAAATGCATCTTAACGCCTCGTCGTAGTGTCTTACGACTGCTGTAACGAATTAACACAATCTTAGTTCCTTAAAACAACCCAGAACACTTTGAGAATTTCGCAGGTAAGAAGTCTGATGTGGGTTTCTCTGGTCTAAATTCAGTCTTCTGTAGGGCTACAGTTTGTTCTGTAGGGATCTCTAGGAGAGAACCCATTTCTTTGGGGTTTTTGGCTTCTCAAGTGGACCAGTTTCCTTGGTTAGTAGTGACTCCCTCTCGCCATCTTTAAAGCCAGCAAATTTGTATCTCTCTAATCATCCTTTTGGAAGTTAGATCTCTGTCTCCCATGTGATCATATGGGCCACTGGGATAATATAAAAATACCCCTTTCATTACAAGGTCATATCTGCAGAGTCCTTCTTGCCATGCAGAGTAGCATGTATAGTTTCTATAGTTTCTGGAGATTAGGATAAAGACATCCATGTGTGTTGAGGAGGTGGCATTTAACCTGCCATGCAGGACATCGATTCAGAAGTGGGAAACACCCTGTCCTCCTGTAGCCCTGGGTTACCAGAGTGACATCACAGTACAGACGATTCTTTTGGATGGATTAGCTCATCTGCGTTTACTTAAGTTCCTACAAAGCAAGAATGGTAGAGCGTCTCTGCATAAGGATAGAGCTCAATGAGATCTATTTGATGATATTCATATAGTTTATTCTTTAAAAAAATCTATTTTTTAAGGAAACCACTCTTCTATTATTTATTGTATACTAGTTAGACACAAGAGGATATGAGAAACCTACTTTAGATGATTATGCAAATGTAACTAAATATCTGAATACCTATTTCTACTCTTTATCCTCTGTAATCTCATGTCTCCCTTGACACGATGCATTTTAAATTATCTTCTGCAAGAAATGACTTGTGTTTGGCTTTTTATATCACGCTGTCATATAGATCATTCTGAGTAACATTTGATATAAATCAGGAAGCCCCTTCTCTCAGGCACACTGCACATGGTGCTCACCAAGTTAAAGACATGGACAGTGTAGTCGCTGCATAATTGGGAAGTCCCCAACGACATGCATAAACCTGGAAAGGAAGAGCAGCTGTACTTCAGGGAGACGCTCCCCTTCTCCACCTCTCTTTACGTTCGGGCTCTTCAGCCACAGAAGACATTCTCGCGGCGCCACAAGCCCCCCATTCCTACTCCCCATTGTGATTTTGTGTAAGTCATGTTCTGAGGAAAGAGAAAAGCAGTTGCTTAGTAATGCTCAAAAGAGGCATTTTTTAAAATTATAGTTTTGGGAAGCAGCAGTTAGCGTAATGGCTATGTCGCTGGACTCCCACGTAGACGACCGTGGTTCGCATCCCGGACCTTAAAACACGCCGGGCGCGTGTGCGTGCGTGCCCAAGATCCCAAGAGGAGAATGGAGGAGAAGGGATTGTGGCGTGGCCATCCCCCCTGGGGGGTGATTTCTCGCTTTCTGTCTCTATGTCTCTCTCTGTCTGTCTGGCGAGCGCATGCGCCCTACAGTGAAAATCTCTCAAAAAAAAAAATTATAGTTTTGAATTAGATTAGAATAACCCTCTGAAAATCTTAAAATTGATTTGCATTTTAAACTTTTGTGTAACTTGAAAGGAAAAAAAAAATAGTGGAACACATATATATACCTGGTATGGGAATTTTATTTCTGTTGCTTCTTCTCTCTATCCCTCCCTTCTCCTCTTCCTCCTCCTTTCTCTCATCCACTTTTAGTTTTTACTTTTCTTTTCCTCTTCTCAGTCCTAAGTGTTTAAGTGATGTATCTTTTAAGTAAACCACTGAACAGCTCCGTCATGGAGCCAATGGGGTTTCTGTCCTAGGAACAGTCCTTTCAAAATGAAAGAAAATTGCATGTACAAGAATACTTGTCAGATAATTCTTTACATAATAAAAAAAATGGAAATTACCTAAATGCCCATTGAATAGAGTCAAGTTAAATAATCTATGAAAATTATGTAATGCTAATGAATATATGCTGACATGGAGAGGTGCAAAACAGTAAAATTCAATCTGAGGTATTTTACAGGCACTCTGCTTAATGACGAATTTCTCCTCCTATTGACTAGACTAGGTTGTTAAGCAGATTGGTCACTAAGGGAAGAGCTTAAAATGCATGTCCTGTGGTGTGTTTTGTGCCATTTGGCACATATTTTTCAGTCCATATCATGCAACATCACACTAGAATAATGTAATTTCCTCCATACAAAAGCACACGTTGGATCAGCTCCAGAAAGCAACATGACACCCCACAACATGGTAATACCAATCCAGCATAATTACTTTTATTTATTCTGAATATTAATGTGGATGCACGATAAAGTACACATTTAGGGCCAGTAGGTGGAAGGGTGGTTGAGGAGATGGACTTCCCAGGTGGCAGGCTGCAGTTTGAGTCCCAGACTTGGTGGCTTGCTTTCTTACTTTCCCTCTTGCTCTTTCTCTCTTTCTGGTGAACATTAAAAAAAAAAGAAAAAAGAAAAAAGAATGATGACAAATAAAAGAAAATAATTCTTTTTAAAAATTACAAATTGATAAATGGAGTGTATTGTATGATTGTGAATACTAACCAGCTTCAGGAATGAGACAAAAACTGAAGCAAGGGATCCCCTGCAGGACAGTTGGTCTTGAAGTCTGAGCGGGGCTAAGCAAGCAGCCGTGCAGGGAGGAGTGCTGGGCAGCGTTTCCGGAGCTGAGAACTAGTTGCAGAAGCGTGAGGGTACAGAGTTTTGCACTCATGGTTGGCCCTTTTCTGTAGAGATACTTTATTTATTATATTTTGAATAATTTATTGTTGAAGCGGGGAGATTAATGTCTCTGTATTGACTGACATGCATGGCATTCCCTTTTGAAAAAGCAATGTAATATACTGTAAAGTTATATGTAATCCAATGCAATATAAAGAAGATTATGATGACAATAAAAATAAAAATAAAGAAAAAAAAGAATTAACTCCCCCCCAAAATAATAATTTATTTAATTATATTTATCATTTTATTGTTTTTTTAATGTGCTATAAGGGACATGCGTTCACCAGGGAGAGATGGAGGCAGAGAGAGAGACAGACAGACAGACAGACACAGACAGGCACACGGAGGGAGGGAGGAAAGGAGGGAGGGAAAGTAAGAAAGCAAGCTGCCAGGTTCAGGACTCAAACTGTGATTCACCATGTGGGAGTCCAGTGCCTTAACCACCATGCCACCTTCTGGCCCTATATTTTATTTTAAATAATAGTAAACAAACTTGTCTCTGTATTTAGGCTGGAAAGGAGAATGTGGAAAGATATGTTTAAAAACGTGGGAGGTGCTTCTCTCTTGCTCTCTCAGCTGTGTGCATGAACTCGATCACAAATAAATATAATTAAGTTAACAAAAATTAGGAGGACTTGTGAGTTTACGGTATGTAAAATGGCTTTGGTAAAGCTGTTTAAAGCAAACAGGAAGGCATACACTACGATATAACACTACGAAGTTAATGTAAACCAAGTCCAGCTTCTATGTCAGGCAAACCCGCATGACGTCGAGTAGTAAGGACATGAGAGAGTGTCCATGTAGATATGGAGAGGCTTCACTTCTCTTATTGTAAGACATCTTGCCATTATGATTGTCAGGTCACACTAATGACGAGAAAACCATAAGGGATAATATTTAGATCACGGGTGATGTGAATTGGATTTCATACTCTTTTTATCCCCCAGAACTTAGCAGAATGCCTGACTCTCGTCACCTAATACATTTGTTGTGTAAATAGAGGATGGAGTAATGGGAATACTTCAGTGTCCCTCAGCTTTTCTTGGCAAATATTTATTTATTTTCTTTTAAAGTATTTTAGATAGTTATGTTTTAAAAATAAGATAAAAAAGGGCCATTCCTCTTCTTCATTGAAGTACTGGGAAATTACATGGATTATGTGTATTGAATGCTTTGGGACCCTCAGATCAGAGGGGATACTTTTATCCAGAGCAATGGTATTTTCCATTGTTATCATCTTGAAGAACAAGGGCTGTTTCTATTTGTTAATATTCTGCTAATATAAAACACAATAATGTGAATATCTGGAGTGAATAATGTTATTTGATTACAAAAACGAGGAAGCGATAAATAATGTTTTTTCTGAAGATGTGGTTATCAGAAATAGAATACTTAATCAAAGGAGGTATTTACAGATCTGATAGTGTAAAAGAACTATTTGAGCAGCCTTTCAAACATCATATTTTAAAAAGAGCTATGTGGGAGATGGGGGCAAAAGTCATCATTATAATTATTCTGATGGGGGGCAGAAGTCATCGTTATAATTATCCTGAAGTTTGTTTGCATTCCTGTTTTGTGGTTAAAGAAGGTTTTCTCTGAAGAGTTTATTTTTAGATTTAGCACTAGAAAATAAATCATTTGAAATATTGCAGAGGTCATGACTAATCAACATACAATCACCCCACATTGCTCAAAACTCGCATTTCCTCTTTTAGTGCCAGCTCACTTCTATCCAGTGAGAGTAGACAATGGCTAATGCTATATTTTCATAAAAGAGTACCTTTTATTTGGCAAAAAAGCTGCAAGCAGTTTCTCTGCCTCTGACGTTACTTTCTCCCAATGTCAGCAAGTCCCAGTGTTCCTTTCTGTCTCAACCCCAAGTGTGTAGTGTGGCTGTGGGATTCCAACTTGGTTCTTAGACACAGCAAACAGCCAGGGCCCTGAAACTTCTGCTGATAATTTAAATTCTAGGTTGGTGACTTTAGCCCCATGGGAACAGGAAGGAATAGCAGCGGAGGATGAGTCTTGCAAATAGGAACTTACTATTAGTATTAATAAATCCATGCATGGATTTATCTTCCGATTGTCTTATTGAATATGTAAGGAATCAGTTTTTTTTTTTTTTTTTGAGATGTTTTTGCTATAGGGCGCGTGTGCTTGCCAGACAGAGAGAGACAGAAAGCGAGAAATCATCCCCCAGAGGGGATGGCCACGCCTTAATCACTTCTCCTCCATTCTCCTCTCAGGATCTTGGGCATGCACGCACACGCACCCGGTGTGAGTTTTAAGCCACCAGGTCCGGGACACGAACTGCGGTCGACTACATGGAAATGCAGCGACATAGTCATTACGCTAACTGCTGGTCCCAGTCAGTTTGGTTATTTGATGAAAATTTAACAGCAGTTTGTCTCATCTCTGCAAAATGCCTCCTGTATATTGTTTTGCTGCTGACTTTGGCGCATTTTAAAGAAATAGGCATGCTCTAAATTTTATTCCTAATTTTTCGTAAGCAGGAATCATATTCAATAAATATTAGGTCTTTAGAATAGGTCTTTACATACAAATTAGTTCATCTCACCCTTGTAAGTGTGAGTTTGCCTGACTTCCTAGAAGTGAACAGACACAAAATAGATTTCTAGAAGTAAAACCGTGGACTCCAACTGCCAGAAAGAACCGCCGGCATGCCCTAGCTTTGAGGTGGAGATCCAGGCGGTACCACTTCTTCTC